CACTCCGCACTGAGAACCGCTGCGCCAGGGCGCAGGCAAAACAGCGGTGCTGGCCAAAAGAGTCACGCTGGTGACCTGTGGGGCTCCCCCACTGGGAATCCCCTGGTCTGTGGGCAACAAAAATTCGTCTGGAAGAGTGGTGTCCACCCACCCCCCACACTCCCACTGGGAGCCACAATCCTGAGCCGCTGCCAATCAGCCATCTTGGATCTTTCTCTGTTTCTTTGAATTTGAATACACCTTTCTTTTTTTTTAATTCCCTGCTCTTGCCCCCAGACAATGAAGCTGTACTTATCTTTGCATTCTAGGAACACCTAGCCCTAGAGATGCAGGGAAAGTTGGCCATGACCAGAGTCCACCCTTGGCTCCACTCCTTCCTTCGTCTGTTATTCTGAGTATGAGCTCTGCTACCTTGGTTTTCTTTGTCTTAGAGTGCTGGGCTGGATTTGTCACACATAAGAAAAAGAACGGATAAGAGAGAATTGTTCTGCTTTCAACTAGGTTCTGTTTAGTGCTTGGGGAATTCTTTCACCATTGCTTGTTTTTGTCAGGTTTGTCAAATATCAGATGGTTATAGGTGAAAAGCAAATAAACCACAATGAAATACTATCTCACACCAGTCAGAATGGCTGTTAATAAAAACTTGAAAAGCGACAGATACTGGCAAGGTTGTGAAGAAAAAGGAATGCTTTTACACTGTTGGTGTGAGTGTAAATTATTTCAACCATTGTGAAAGACTGCATGGTGATTCCTCAAAGATCGAGAGGCAGAAATACCATTCAATCCGGCAATCTGATTATTGGGTATATACCCAAAGGAATATAAATCATTCTCTATAAAGATACATGCATGTGTATGTTCATTGCAGCACTATTCACAACAGCAAAAACATGAAATCAAATGAAATGCCCACCAATGATAGACTGGATAAAGAAAATGTGGTACACATATACCATGGAATATTATGCAGCCATAAAAAGGAATGAGATTATATCCTTTGCAGGGACATGAATGGAACTGGAAGCCATTATCCTTTGCAAACTAACCCAGGAACAGAAAACCAAATACCACGTTTTCACTTATAAGTAGGATCTAAATAATGAGAACACATGGACACACGGGGTGGGGAACAACACACACTGGGCTCTGTTGGAGGATGGGGGTGGAAGGAGGGAGAGGATCATGAAGAAGAGCTAATGAATGCTGGGCTTAATTCCTGGGTGACAGGATGATCTGTGTAGCCGACTACCATGGCACACATTTATTTACCTATGTAACAAACCTGCGCATCTTGCACATGTACCCTTGAACTTAAAAGTTGGAACTTTTTTTAAAAAAGAAAAACATTAGGGAATAGCTGCCTGTGGGAATGAGGAGAATGGGAATAAAAATTGGAGAGAGAGAAGAAAATACAAATAAAACAAGAAGAACTTGCATGGACTGATGATGATCGTGTTCCAAGAACCGAGAGGTATGATTGAGTCAGCGCTCTACACTGAAGTCTGAAAGAAGGAAAGAACTGAAAATGAAAGAGAAAATAAAGGCCATGAGTAGAGCCAGAAAGCTTCCTTGTAGACAAGAGAATGGGCCCCACATCCAGAGCAGAGTAAGCCGACCAGAGAGACAATGCATCTGCGTCAGCTCTAGTTCTCATTACAACCAGCTCACTGTCATCACAGTTCTTGGGCTCCAGAGAGATTCCCTTATAGGTCTCACCTGGATCCTTACAATATCCCCTTTGGTTCTCTGAGGCACCTCAGTGGGACTGCTCCTCACGCAGTCCAGCAGCCCAGCAGTTCTTTTGCGGGGTCTCTTTGCCTCCTGCCTAGTAGTGGACAGAACTCAGCACTTGGAACTCAGAAACACTTATAAAAAGCATTAGGGGCAAGATAGGTTGTGCTGAGGATCCTGTAGGGGAGATAAAGGACAGTTTTACATCACAAACACTGCAGCACAGCTATCCTCCACTCCAGTTGGACCACCAAATGGATCATTTTCCTCTGCTTTTCCTTCTGACAGCTCCCAGTCCTCACCCTGTGGTCTTAGCCACTCCCAAACCTCCTTTGGCTTCTAAATTTCTCTTTTCTTTCTTATGCAGAACAATTTATTAATATAGTCACAGAGCCTCCAAATGTGCATATCCACACTTTTAAATTATCGGGACCACTCTAACATTAGAAGTACCAGAGACCTGGAAATACAGTGTGTTTATGGTTCACTGGTTCTTTTTTTTTCTGTTTCATATGGAACTAAAAATGCCCTGTCTGTCTAAAACATGAATTCAGTGGGTAGCAAATGAAACAAAGCCCCATTGGGATCTGTCTGTTTCAGAAGCCTGAGTGTGGTGGGAAGGTGACTGCACTGAGGTGCTGAACTCCAGGACTGGTAGGTTCTACTTTAGCAGGTCACAAGCACCAGCTGTGAAACTGGTTAGACAAGTTCATTTAACTGTGTGCCAGTTTTCTCAACCACTGAATGACAAAAACAAAATAGGGGTTATGTAGTTCCCAGGCTTCTTGTAAGGTTCAAATGAAGATGTGACTTTAAAAATTTTTTTAACTTTATAGCCTTGTGTAATGTTTGACCAACGTTACAATTACCATGTGTTGCACATAGTTTTTCTTTTGGGAGGGGTTGCAAAGAGTATTTATGGCATAATCTAATTTATGTAAAAAAAAGAGAAAGCAATATAAATTTGTATTCAAAACTGGCAGGATATACAAAAAATTGATATCAATTATTAACTATGGGGAGTGACAAGAGGAAGTGTTGAGCGGGTGGGAAATAGGTTTTTTTTATCTATATACTTTGAAAATGTTTAAATTTTCTTAACCATGAGCATACACAACTTTTATAATAAGCACCGGGCAATACTACTACTACTACTACTACTTGGACTACCAAGTCATGGATGGCTCTGCTCACCACACTCCGGGGCAGAAGAAACCCCGCATTGTCTGGTTTCTTTTATATCAAGAACCTCTATTTGCCCAACAGTCAAGTTAGGGTTAATTATTCACATCATAATGATTCATGTTACCTTTTTTTGGTGGGGGGACGGAGTCTCGCTCTGTTGCCAGGCTAGAGTGCAGTGGCACAATCTCGGCTCACTCCAATCTCTGCCTCCCATGTTCTAGCGATTCCTCTGCTTCAGCCTCCCGAGTAGCTGTGAGTACAGGCGAGCACCAGCATCCCTGGCTAATTTTTTGATTTTAGTAGAGACAGGGTTTCACCATGTTGACCAGGATGGTCTCGATCTCCTGACCTCATGATCCACCTGCCTCGGCCTCCCAAAGTGCTCGGATTACAGGCATGACCCACCACGCTAAGCCCTTTTGGTTGAGTTAGAAAATCTCACTCTGTCACCTGGCTGGAGTGCAGGGCCATGATCTCAGCTCACTGCAACGTCTGCCTCTTGGGTTCAAGCAATTCTCCTGCCTCAGCCTCCTGAGTATCTGGGACTGGGACTATAGGCACACCATGAACAGCTAAATTTTGTATTTTTAGTAGAGATGGGATTTCACTATGTTGGCCAGAATAGTCTCACTCTCTTGATTTCGTGATCCATCCACCTAGGCCTCCCAAAGTGTTGGGATTATAGGCATGAGCCACCTTGCCCAGCCCATGTTGCAATTTTTAAATATAATTCACATATGGTTCACACTCTTTGAGTGCCTTTAAAACATCTGACCCATGCTTTAGGAGCAGAGGCTCACCCAAAAACAAAGATTTTCTTTTTTTGTTATTTTCATTTGTTTGCTTGTTTATTTTTTGGAAACAGTCTCACTTTGTCACCCAGGCTGGAGTGCAGTGGCAAGATCTCAGCTCACTGAAACCTCTGACTCCCAGGTTCAAGTGATTCCCCTGCCTCAGTCTCCCAAGTAGCTTGGATTACAGGCGTCTGCCACCATACCCAGCTAATTTTTGTATTTTTAGTAGAGATGGGGGGTTTCACCAGGTTGGCCAGGCTGGTCTTGAACTCGGGATAACATGTGTGAGCCGTCGCGCCCAGCCTGTTTTTTTTGTTTGTCGTTTTTTTGAGATGGAGTGTCACTGTGTCACCCAAGCTAGAGTGCAGTGATGTGATCTTGGTTCACTGTAATCTCTGCCTCCCAGGTTTAAGTGATTCTCCTGCCTCAGCCACCTGAGTTGCTAAGATTACAGCTACTTTTTGTACTTTTAGTAGAGATGGGGTTTCACCATGTTATCTAGGCTGGTCTCGAACTCTTGACCTCAAGTGATCCACCCGCCTTGGCCTCCCAAAGTGTTGGGATTACTGATGTGTGCCACCATGCTGACTGATCCTAAGGTGTTCTTGTACATAGAGTATCATCTTACACTACAGGGACCCTGGATTGGAGTTGAAGGCAGATTTTTTCAGAGGTTAGGGTGGGAGGTGAGAATGAGTGTTCCACTGGAGAGGAGAAAGGGTAGGGGTTGGGGAAACCATCAACTGTATAGGGATTCATACTTTGCTTTGTAAAGTTCTTTTAACCTGTGGTCTGTTTCTGTGTCCAAATAACTGCAATGTTGAGAGGTTAGTTAACCTGAGCAAAAGCCTTATTTTATTTAACAGTGGGGCCTGGTGATTGTCCCAGTCATCAGGGGTGTCCTGAGTAAAGGAACCCGACTGTGTCTTGGTCACAGAGGGATCAGCACCCATCCTCTCTGCATCTACTCCGCCAACCCATCTCTGCCCCAAATTGCCAACATAGGCAGATTCCACTGGATCTAAGCCTTCAGCCTTATCCACACTAATTAGACACATGGAATGCAGAGGTCTGTGAGTCACACTTAGGACATACTCTGCAAGTCTAGAGAAATGACCAGAAGGGAAGGGAAAGGAAGGGGCCCTGGGGTCCACCCAGGGCTGATGAAGAGGCCCTAAGCCCTACAAAGGTGGAGGGATCTTCAGGTGTGTGTCAAAGTACGAAGTTAACGGTATAAATTAATGCAAGTCCAACAAAACCCTGGTTATTCCTACGATGATTATTTTGCAGCAGCATAAACATTTTATTTTAGGTGTTTTTTCTCTCCGCACCCCAAAGCCCTCGGGCTCCTAGGTTGGCTGTTGCCCTAAACTGAGCCCCTCTGTGGTTCTTCACTGGGAGGTGCAGAGAAGGCCGGAAGTCACAGGAGGTTCAGGACGTCAGGGAGCTGAGGGCCTAAGATAAATAAAGTAAAAACAACCGCTGTTCGAGACTTAGTCCTCTCGCCTCACGCGGGCACAGGGGGCCGCCTGGGCCGCGAGCTGGCCAGGGGCTGAGCTGGATCCCAGGGCGCCACGGTCTCCGCTTCACCGCCTTTCGCGCGCCCCACTTCAGCCTTTCAGGGTAAGGTAGGAACCTTTTTTCCAGACTGCAAAGAAAGGGAAGACTTTGCCGGAGAAAGAGGCAGTGAAGGTGAAGATGGACTCCCTGGTTTGGGCGTTGAGGAGGGTCACCAGCCCCGCCTCGTAGTCCAGGGTGACGCCCACGCCGCGCGGGATCTCGCTGAGCCGCAGGTCGGTTCCCGGGGAGGTGCTGGCCCAGCACTGCTGGTGCGAGATGATCACGGCCCAGATGCCGTCCTCGGCGCTGAGGCCCATCTCCCCCTTCCTGCTCACCGCCTCCGCGGCCACCCCCACCGTGCAGCCGCCGCCGTCGCCCAGCTGCAGGTCCACCTGCCAGCGGTGGCACCCCGAGGAGAAGCCCGGGAAGCCCAGCACGGCCGGGAGGCCGTCGAAGCGCAGGGGGCTGTCTCGTAGGTTCTTCTTCTGCCCGGTGTATCTCACTGACTTCCTGTCTTCCGAGAGGGCCAGGCTCCGGCTGGCGGTCTGAGGGTCCAGAGTGATGACCCCTAGAGGGAAGAGGGTGCAGACCTCAACAGCGGGCGGCAGCCACAGCTGTTCCTAGAGCAGGCAAGGCGAGTGGGAGTTAGGAGCACTGACTGGGGCAGCCTGCTATTGGGCCACTTCTCTGAACAGTCCTTCTACCTAATAGGCAAGTGGTGCTGTAAAGATTTGCTTCTCAAAGTGCAGGGGGAGGCGCCAGCAGCAACCCCATCGCCCCGGAGCTTGTTAGAAATGCAGAATCTTGGATCCCATCCCACCTTACTAAATCAGAATCTGCATTTTAACAGGATCCCTAGGAGACCATTCTGCATGTCGGGTTTGAAAAGCACTGATCTATACCAGAGTGAGGTGATGCTTGTGGAAACAATTGCTAAATTAAGCACCAATTAAAAAATAAATGTGATTTTAAAAAATCGAACATTATTTGTTCAAATCAATAGAGTCCAGCGCAATGCTGCTTAGAAATCTAGGGCTTGATAAATATTTTTTAACGAGTGATATCTATGTAAGTAGATGACCTTAATTAAGCACTTACTATGAGTCAGGTAATATACTAAGCTCTTGGCCTGTATTAATTCATTTTGCCCTCACAGCTACTTATGGGACAGGTACAGTACTTTTTTTCCCTTCATTTTACTGATGAAGAAATATTGTGGGACAGAGGCTTAATAACTAGCCCACTGTCTCAGAGCTAGCAAAAGCTGAATCAGGAACCCACGCAATCGCGCTCCAGAATTCATGCATTGTTTTGCTCTATTTGCTGCCATGGACTGAATGGGTGAATGGAAGAATGACTCCCCAAATCCCAGGCTGTTTACCTGAATCTGGTTCCAGATGATGCACCAAGTTTTCTAAGGGAAGTAGAAATAGAAAGAGAGATCTGTGACTTATTACTTCTTACAGGCATCCCCAGGGGCAAGGTGTCTCGAGTACAGTGTGAAGATGAGGACAGAGGCTGTGGCTTCTGCTGTGGACTAGTAGAGGAGAAGTGGTCCTTGCCCTCCCGGACTCTCAGTCCAGAACCTGTCCTTAGGGAGTGGAAGAGATGCTCTGGGAATGGTGCCCCTGAGTCAGTTGAGATCACTAAGGGAAGGATCTGGGGAGGGAAGATGTCTTGAGCCAGTTTTTGAAGGCAGAGAAGGATGGGGATGGGTGGAAGGCAGGAGGGCAGCTAATGGAACTGGGGAAAACTGAGGCCCCTTCCCCTTTACCTGAGAACATCCTCATCATCTCTGGGAGGGGAAGTATTTTCCTGTGGAGATCACGGATCTTCTGGACAAGGTCAGGAGAAATGGCCTCAGGACTCACAAAAGTCTTCATCTCACACCTGCAGGTAGGTTGGTAACCAGTTAGCTCCAAATTCCAAAAACAAATGTTTGGGTGAGACCCAGTGAAGCTAAAAAATCAAACTAAAGAATGATCTTGATGTCTGTGGTGAATAATCAATCAGATTGAGTATCATTTCTTTACTTTTACTAGAAATGTGTAGTTACTAAAGTAGCAGGCATTTCAGTTAAACCTAAGAGGAACTAACAATAATTACTTCTCAAGAATTGGAGAGGTAGGCCCCTTTAGGAGAGTGGGTTTGTGTGGGCCAGGGACAGAGATCATTACCCATTAAAGCCCCTAGAGGGCAACAGGGTACCATTTGAAAACAGCTTTAAACTACCCTCTGTGTGCTGCTATTTGTAAAGGAAACGAGGCTAGAAGGGAAGAAAAAAAAAGATAAAAGAAAATATATATTGCAATGAAAAAAACTCCTGATTCTGGTCCCAGTTCAGTCCTCATTAGATACTCGCTGCATGACCTTGAGCACTCTTCACCCCCGGGTCTCAGTTTCTTCATCAAACTGGAAGATCTCCAAGCCCTTCTAGATCTAAACCTCTAATGCTCTTTGAAAAGTATGTTTGGAGACATTTCCTGATTCATGGACCCTGGGCTTTTCCTCCCTGCGCGTGAATAGGCACAAAGCATGTGACAAGTGTTCCCTAGTTACTACACCTCTTCTCATCTCAGAGCAGACAGGGAAGGAAATGCATTTACAGTGCCTCTGGCTCCTGGTGGCTGTCCTTTTGCAACAGCATTAGAAAATTCTGAAGGAAACAAGAGATGTGTGTAAAAAAAAAAATGAATGAATGAAAGAATAGGCTGGTATTCGTGGTTTCCATGCTTATCATAGTCTGCAGAAAGTATTTCCCCTTTGAATTACATTTTAAATGGTGTTAGACACTGACTCAAGTACTAATAATTGCATAGATTAAATAAATGTTCCTGGATCAACCTAAAAACATGATTGTTATTTATAACTTCACTTCTAGGGGAAAAACATGTCACCAATACAAACCAATTGGTTTAAAAATTAACCTTTAGAACATGAATCTTTAGTGAGTTTGGACTGTTTGTGCATGGGTGAATGAGACAGTGTGTCTGCCAGAGTGCCTTTGCTTTCGTGGAAGAGGGGAAGTGGGTGGCACTAAGTGCCACTGCCCTTGCCCCTTCCCCTTCAGTCTTCAAGTTGAGTAAAAGGAGGCCAGGCTGGGGAGTGGACCCTACCTGCTCTGGTTGACTCTGACATCCTACAAAAGAAAGACAAGAACATGCATTTAGTTTTCATAAATCTTTCCTGTTAGGGATTCTGTACATCCTTTTTCCTTAAAATGTGAGCTAAAAACTCTCTTCCTGCAGAGAGCTTTCCTGTTTAATTACCTACTCATTCAATTGTTCTTTTACATCATGCTTTCCTACTAATTTGCGTCTCTATAGTCAGTTCATTTGTGCTGGTTTCTTTGTTTCAGCCTTATTGTGAGTGGGTTGTGTCTGCAGTGATTAGGAGGTGGTGGAGAGCAGGGACCTGCCTTGCATCAGTTATCAGCTGAACCTGATGTGAACCGGGATCACATATTCATAACCACAGCAGACATCAGTTATTGAGTTCTTTCTATGTACCAGGGGCCATGTTAAGCATTTTATATGGACTGTTTCTTATAAGTTTGCAACAACTTAATGCGGGAGGTGCTATTTCGTCCCCATGTTTAGAGAGCTTAAGAGACTCTCTTGAGTCACACAACTGGAAGAGCCAACATTCAAATCCAAGACTGTCTGACCCTAAAGCCCTTAACATGACCACATTGTATGACTTGGGCAAGTCTCCAGCCCCTCTGGGTCTGCATCCCCATAACTCTCCACTTCCCTTTTCTGCCTCTTTCCAGCCCACAGCATGGTGCCCACCCCCTTCCTGTGGAGTCCCTCTCCTATCCCACGAAGTGTGAGGTGTCTCTCACTTTTAGAAGCTCACTTGCTGGCTGCTGGCACTTCTCCTCCAGCTCCTTGACCTGGGCTCCAAGCCGGGTGACTTCCTCAGAGACCTTTGTGATGTATTCATCCCTCTCCTTCCGGATCTGCTGCTCCAGTTCCCTCAGCCTGGCCAGCAGGAGACACCGCTGATGCACCAGCTCCTGCTGCAGCCTCTCAAAAGCTGTTTCCACCTGATGCTTCTTGCTTTCAATCTGAGTCTGCAAGGGATACAAGACAGACATGTTTAGGAAAGGGCTCAGAGATAGCAACCAGGACGATCATCTATGTACTTCTTATTGATTAACAGGAATAGGGAGTAACTAGTTCTGAGACTCATTCCACCTGTGAGTACGCTTAGAAGACAGGTCTCAGGATGAACTTACCAATGACAGGGGCTGTGCTTCAGCCTTAGCTAGAGATTCTAATAATAATGCTACATTATGCTCTCAGAACAACGTTGAACTTTTCAAAAATATTCCCACAACTGCAATACCATCTTAACCCTACTATACCTTTTTAGAGTTAGGTGGGGAACACTGTAGTCATTTCTTAGAGACCAAAGAAAGTTGTGATTGGAGTCAATACAACTTAGTGGGAGAGTGTGTGATTTTGGTCTTAGCCATGGAAATCACCATCTACAGGGCATACTTTGATGAAAGCTGAGGGATGGTGAGAGATTGTTTTGTCCCCACACTGTTTCCTTGGTCAGGGTACCAGAAATCCCCACACTCCGATTCCTCCATAACTTTACAGCATGAAAAAAGAGGCGTGAGGGAGCCAGATGCAGCCACACCATCAGCCTACTGTCCTCAAGGTCAACCTTGGTCAGGACTAGAATCCTGACACTAATATACACCTTTGGACGCCAAGCTTCCCATCTGAAGGTGGTATATTCGGGAAGACAGACTAGGACGGAAAGAACAATGGATTAAGGGCCAAGAGGTCCAGGTTCATTATGAATGTGGACTTTGCTACGTGGCCTTGAGAATGTTGCTTTTCTGGACCTCAGTTTTCTGCTCTGTAAAATGTGATGTGTAAGATGGATCTTGTATTAGAAGACATCAGAACCACTTCCAGTGTTGATGGTCTGAGATCCCAAATGCCTTTGTGCAGCCACAGAAAGGTGAATGAGAACAGTGTGCCAGTTCTTTTCAGCCAGGCGACAGATACCAGCCAACAGTTTTCCCCAGAGTCTGTTAAGAAAAACCTTCAAAGGAAAAGGTAGACAGTGACGTGGCCTGTACCAGCAGCACTTGAAGCTTCTGATCTTCTCCACACTTTACATCCTCAATCTCATCTCTCTCCATGCTCAGGGCTTCCAATCGACTCCTCAGACGATCCTGTGGGGAGAAGAATGGGTGGACAGAGGTGGCTGAATTCATAATCCAACTCACAAATATTAATTACCACATCCTGAGCACACTGCTGAGTGCTGAGGGATTCGAAGGTGGAAAAGGCCCAGTCCTTGTTCCTAAAGAGATCACCATCTAGTAAGAAGTCAGTTTCAAGTGATTAAAATGCAGACAGATAAATGCAATAGTCCAGGGGTGCACACAGTGAGATGGGAACACAGAAGACAGCTCTGCCTGTAGGCCTAAGGGAAGGTTTAGAAAGCAGAAAACATTTACAGTGTGCCTTGAAAGATACATTTCCAGTTGAATAGAGAGGGAGAGAAAAGGACTTAGTGCCCCTGAATTGTATACTTAACAAGAGAGAGGCGGGGTATGATGGCTCACGCCTGTAATCCTAGCACTTTGAGAAGCCAAGGTGGGCAGATCGTGAGGTCAAGAGATCAAGACCATTCTGGCCAACACCATGAAATCTCGTCTCTACTAAAAATACAAAAATTAGCTGGGTGCGTGCCTGTAATCCCAGCTACTAGAGAGGCTGAGGCAGGAGAATTGCTTGAACCCTGGAGGCAGAGGTTGCAGTGAGCTGAGATCATGCCACTTCACTCCAGTCTGGTGACAGAGCGAGACTCCATTTCAAAGAGAGGGAGAGAGAAGACAGAGAGATGGGAGGAGGACAGAAGAGTATTCTAGGAGAAAGAGACTAAGTGCAAAAAGTATTGGAAGGAGGAATGAATAAGACAGTTCAGGAAAAAACAGCAAGCGCAACTCAGTCTGGCTGGGGTGCCTCGAGGAGGGCATCTGAACGATGAGGCTGGATGGGGAGGCAGGATCCTGATTGCAAAGGGCCTTGAATATTTTGCTAAAGACACTGGACTTTCTTTGGGCACTAGGGATACCCGGACAGAGTCTAAGCAGAGGAGTGACTTTGGGTTTTAGGAAGACCTGTCTCCCAGCAGATTGGAAGGTGACTAGAAAAGGTGAGAATGGAGACAGGGAATGCCCTGGAGACCGCAAAGTCTGGGAAAGAGATGGGGTGATCCTGGCTGTGGGGATAAGGCAGAATTAAAGATTCGGGAGATGTTTCTGAGGAAACCACTTCCAGACCTGGTGACTGGATGACAAGAGCGAGATCTGAGAGGCTGTCGGGGATGGAAAATGCCGGAGACCAGATGGGGAATTCTCACAATTCTGGACTACTGCCGCCCTCCCTTTCTGAAGAAGAGCAGCACTAGCTCGTTCCTTTTCCCAGCTCCTCCCTCCCCTCGGCAGTCAGGGCCCTATAAATCCCGTATCCAGTGTGGATCCTGGGAGAACAAGTTCACCTTGCCCATAGCCCACAGAAGATCCCACTCGGCACTGGGCTTTCCTTCCACAGCGAGTGAAGCCAAGGCTCTAGTTCTGTGCACCCCACCTCTGTGGAGTCCTCTGAGAGCCGGAGCTGAAGTTCCCACAGCCCGGAACTCCCGCACGTCCGCACATCAGCACATCAGCACATCAGCACACCTGAGCTGAGCCCTATCTGCCTTCAGTTTGGGAATGTCTCAAAGTTCCTATAGCCTTAGGATCCCCTGATGTGGAAGCCCGGCCTTTCATCCAGATCCCCACTCCATTCCCTCCCCTCATCACCGGACATCATCCTGCCCCAAACAGGCCCTAGGTAAAGCCACGCTTTTTACCCGGTAGGGCTGAATGGCCTCGTCCAGGAACCTCACGGTGTGCGCCTGGTGCGAGGGGCTCTCCCTGCAGAACACACAGAGGAAGTCGGTGTCGTTCTCGCAGAAGAAGTAGATCTTCTCGCCGTGCTCCTCACAGTAAGTCTCCCCCAGCGGGCCCAGGGGCACAGGGGCCATGGGCGTCTCTGCCTCCTCCTCCCCTTGGCAGAGCGGACAGAGCAGGATCTTGCCTGAGGGCTGGGCTCCCATATGGGAGAGCTTGGGGAGGCAGAGCCGGCAGAAGGTGTGTCCACAGGGAGCGGTCACCGCATCCTCCAGCGGCCCCGCACAGCAGGTACAGGAGGGCGGCCCGTGGACCACCTTTAGGGACAGGGTTGAGGGCATCACTGTGCCTTCTCCAGCTCGTCCACTCAGACCTCTGCCTCAGTGCACGCGAAATCGCTTCCCCTGAAATCCAGTCACAATTATAGGAAACACAGAGGGGAAGTACTGCAAGGCTGAGAGAGAGAGAGAGAGAAAGGCAGGAATTTCAGCACAGGGAAGCCACCTGGCTCCGCCTCTTGTGCTCCCTAGAACCCTAAGCCACCACCTATCAGCGGAGTGGGTCCAAACTCCAGGGCGTCTCGAATTACCCAGCATTTCCCAGTGGTGGCCAATAAACCAGTTTTTTTTTCTGCCCAGGCGGGAGTGCAGTGACGTTATTATCGGCTCACTGCAACCTCTGCCTACTGGGTTCAAGTGATTCTCCTGCTTCAGCCTCCTGAGTAGCTGGGATTAAAGGCACATGCCACCATGCCCGACTCATTTTTGTATTTTTAGTAGAGACGGGGTTTCACCACGTTGGTCAGGCTGGTCTCGAAGTCCTGACATCGTGATCCACCTGCCTTGGCTTCCCAAAATTCTGGGGTTACAGGCATGAGCCACCTTGCCCGGCCCAGTAAGCCAGTTCTTTACTCCCGGCTCCTCTGGTCCCAGGGGTGGAAAAAAGAGCACACCATGAGGTCACAGGGAGATGGGATTTCCTAGAATCTCTAGACCACAGTGGCTGGGGAGAATTGGAAGCAGACGCTTCCTGTCAGATTGAGCAGGTGGGAGCCATAAACTTCTGGCTTTGAGGTGTGCCCACAGCATCAAAGTCCAGGCTGGAGTGAGAGGTGTGGAGTTCCGGAGATTCTGCAAGAAGGGTGTGGGGCACGCTGTTTCGACACTGCAGGTCGGCGTGTAAGGATTGCCCCTTGGGTCCCCTCTTCTGCTCCCTTTTCCTCCCTCACTGCATCTGCCCATGCTGACCCTTCCTACCATCCCAAATCCCCCACCACCTGGCACTACAGTCCCCGCTGGGGTTTGGGTAACACTGGACTGTCTTATTTATTTATTTATGTATTTTTACTGTAGCAGGGAGAAGGCAAGAAACCATAATGCAAACAATTTATGTTGATACACGTTAGAAAACAATTAGATAAACCCTTCAACCACTTTATCTAAGTTTTGGTACTTTTATATTATTACATTCAATTTTAACAACCCTCTATGTAGACATTATTACTTTCATTTTACAGAGAAAGAAATGTAAACTGAAAGGTAAAGTAACTTTCTGAAGGTCATAGGGCTGGAAAGTCTCATATCAGGGTCAATCCCAGTCTCCTGGCTTAAAGCCCTATGCTCTTCCCACACCCCACACCAAGATCAAGATCAGCAGCCACGGTGTTTCATCCACTTACTCACATCTGTGAATAAAACCAGACCTTCCCCTATTCTCCCACTGGGTGATCAGCCCAGCCCCCTGTGGTTGTTACTTTTTTCGCTAATAACTTTATCATCGCCCCTTCCCACCCAATCTTTGCTCTTCCTGCCGCAAGTTCAGCTCAGACCTAGACTGTAATACATGAATGAGTCCCCAGCCACGCATGTCTACTGAGCACTGAAATGTGGCCAGTCTGAATGGAGGCGTGCTGTATGTGTAAAATACACACCAGATTTCAAAGGCTTTGCACAAATGAAAAAATGTAAAATATCTTATTAATAACTTTTTATGTGGATCACCTATTGAAATGATAATGTTTTGGAAATATAGGACTAAATGAAATAACATCATTAAAATTACTTTCTCTATTTAGACTATTTTTATATGGCTACTAGGAAATTTTAAATTGCATATATGGCTCGCATTGTATTTATGTTGTATAGCATTGCTTGGAAGACATACATTTGACAGCAAATTATTTATAGTCACCTACCTGTTTACTTGTGTGCCTTGGGCAAGCTGAATGACCTGGCTGGACCTCAGCTTTCTCATTTATAAAATGGAGATTCTAATAGCACTGATGTTGCAGAGCAGATGCCGAAATCAGATCATATTTTTACATTGTTTATGTCAATGTAAGATGTACTGTCGTTGTAAGTAAATTCTGGCCATTACTAGTTTTCTTTCCCCTCCCCAGCATAGGGAATGAATATTCCAGCCTCCTTTGAGGCTTGCAGCAGGCCAGTTGAGGCATCACCATTGAAGTTGCTGGTGTAGTGTACACCCTGGCACAAGGACCTTATCTGAGTCCCCACACTCTCCTGCTCGCTGATGGGCAAACCCTGGGCTGGCTGATACCTCCAATCTCTCTGGAGACAGCTGTCCACATTGCAGAAAGGCTGGAGTGGCATCTCCACTCTGTGACCCAGTCTCCCATCTGGCCTCATACAAATATTTGTTTTGAAAGTAGGCAGTTGGCATATCACCACTTTGCTTCTACTGGAGTGTCTCTGGATGGACAGAAAGGAACAGTCAGCTCCTGGTTATGGTCATCTAAGTCAACTATGAAATGCTGTGAGGCCTTCTTCCTTCCTCTCCTCCTCTCCTCTGCTATTTTCCATCTCTGCTGTTGGCAGAAGAATAGCACCCTGGCCGCCAGAGATGCAAGTGTGTGACGATATGGGTGCTGGTGCATATTTTATATGTGCCTGTGTCCATGTCCAGCCATGTGCACATGTGGGTGTGTGAGTGTGTGGCCCAGCCCTTCCCCCTTGGCCAAGCAGAGAGGGTGACTTTGAGGAAGCCATAGTAGCAGTGCCAGCATGGCCTCTGCTGCCTCTGTGACCAGCCTGGCAGATGAAGTCAACTGCCCCATCTGCCAGGGTACCCTGAGGGAGCCGGTCACTATTGACTGTGGCCACAACTTCTGCCGGGGCTGCCTTACCCGCTACTGTGAGATCCCAGGCCCAGACCCAGAGGAGTCCCCTACTTGCCCACTCTGCAAAGAACCCTTCCGTCCTGGGAGCTTCCGGCCCAACTGGCAGCTGGCTAACGTGGTGGAGAACATCGAGCGCCTCCAGCTGGTGTCCACACTGGGTTTGGGAGAGGAGGACGTCTGCCAGGAGCATGGGGAGAAGATCTACTTCTTCTGTGAGGATGATGAGATGCAGTTGTGTGTGGTGTGCCGCGAGGCTGGGGAGCATGCCACCCACACCATGCGCTTCCTGGAGGATGCAGCAGCTCCGTACAGGGTAGGAAAGGGGAACTGGGGGATCCCAGGGTGGACTGGACTAAGAGAAACAGCAGAGTTGTGGATTATTTAGGCCACCCTGGGGCCAAATTCTTTCTCCTTACTTATGTGATCACCCAGGCAGTAGACCAGGCATGGAAATTTGTGTTTATGTTTTTTTTGAGTGTGTTCCGTATTCACTTGCGGCCAACAGATAATGGGAGTTCAATGAATGCTTGTTGAATGAATGAGTGACCAAAATACAAGTATGTGTGTCTGTTCCATGGATCGGGTGTGTCTGAAGTTTGTATTTGAGGGAATGATTGTACAAACAGTGTGTACATGTGTTAATGTTTGCGTGTTTAGAAGTGTGTCTGGTGTGTTTGGGTGGGAGTTTGAGTGTGTATGTATTTGAGTGTGTAAGTGTAACTGAGAATTCCTGTTTGTGAATAAATTCGTGTTTACATATATTCATGTTGGTAAATATATGTGGCATGTCATTTTATCTGTCATTAAATAAGTGTCTGCTGGTTTTAGTTGTTTATGCATTGTCTATGAATTGTATTTTAGTACAAGTCTGAGTGTGGATGACTTAACTAGTTAATTAGCAATTGATAGTGAGAATTCTAAGGTATCTTTGAACACACATATTTATTATGTGTGTGTACTGTTCCTAACTATTCTGGAGCAAATAATTTTTAAAACAATTTATCAATTTTTTTACATTACCCAAGTTTCTTCTCCCTTCTGGAGTCATACACAGGTGATTGATTCCAGTAACAAGGGAGGGCTGTTATTTGCACGTTTCTTTGGGATGAGTCGGAAACTTGGAATGATTTCAGTGCAGGGCATATCAAGCTCAGGACTGACCACAGATACCACTTACCTGAAACAAAACAAAGTAGGATGTTTAACCTGAAGAAAGACTTAAGTGGGAAAACCAAGTCACAGCCTCCAATGGCACAGGATAAAGGGGGAAAGTCCTGATCAAAAGTCTTTGAGGCGAATCAAGAGGAACAAGACTCAAAGGGAGTCTGTCAGGGCATAAGCTGTCAGGGCGGGGAAGGCTTGGGCATTGTCAGCTAAGGAAGAGACTACTCTCCTGGAGCCATTTCATTCCTGGAGGCAGAGGGTCAGATGACATGACAACCCTGAACAAATCATTATCCATCTTGAATATTTTATGTTCCTTCTCCCCAGGAACAAATACATAAGTGTCTTAAGCATCTAAGAAAAGAAAGAGAGGAGATTCAAGAGATCCAGTCAAGAGAAAATAAAAGGATACAAGTCCTCCTGGTAGGTTACCGCCCCTCCCCGGACCCCTCTCCATCCTCAGGGTCCAGTGTCTTCCTGAAACTGAAGCAACATAGATTATAGGGCTTTGAAGTTATTATGAGTTTAAATCCTGACTCTGACACTAATTCTATGGCCTCAAGCAACTCTCCAACTTCAGTTTACTTCTCTGTAAAATGGAGAGTAAAAATCGTTATGACCTTATTGAATGACTGTAAACATTAAACCAGATTGTGCCTGTAAAGTAGCTTAGGGTTGTGTGTATCATGTGCTTTTCATACAAGACAGGAGGTAGGGTTCCCCCACCACCTCTCCCTACACCTCCTCTGAGCCCTACCCCTTTTAGAAGCTATAGCAGATGGTGCTGAGGCACTACTATAAATTTTGCCCCCAGACATGGGATGACAGGTGAAAAGGAAACCATGACACAGTTCCAGATCTACCTGGGGACAGGAGAGGAGGAGGAGGAGCAGGGGAGAAAGAGGAAGCAAACTTTCTCCTGGGCTCTCCTCCTGCCCCCTCAGACTCAGGTGTCCACCAAGAGACAGCAGGTGATTTCTGAGTTTTCACATCTGAGCAAGTTTCTAGAGGAACAGCAGAGCATCCTCTTAGCACAGCTGGAGAGCCTGGATGGAGACATCTTGAAGCAACGGGATGAATTTGATTTCCTGGTTGCTGGGGAGATCTGCCGGTTTAGTGCTCTAATTGAAGAACTGGAGGAGAAGAATGAGAGGCCAGTAAGGGAGCTCCTGACGGTGAGGACTGAACCTGAACCTGCCCTACCTGTGCTGTCCTGTGGCTCTTGCATCTTTGCCTTGCCTGAGCCATGTCTCCCTCTGTATGGCAGGTGGGAGGTGGGTCAGAGGATCAGAAGGTCTCATTTCTAGTCCATGCTTTTCCAAGAGTTCCTTG